ACCGAGCGCGCGAAGCCCTGCAGCGCCTCGCACTTGCCGCGCAGCGCGTCGAGCTCCAGGCGCATGGCGGCGTTCTCGCGCGCCAGCTTGTCCACCTCGCGCTCCAGCTCCGACTTCTGCTTCTGCAGCTCCTCCTTCTGGCACACGCGCTTCACGCGGCAGCTGGCCGCGTAGCCGCGGTTCTTGAGCGTGCGGCGCCGCTGCTTGAGCCGCGCCACCTCCTCGGCCGAGAGCCCGCGCAGGTGCCGGTTCAGCTCGCGCACCGACAGCCCCATCAGCGCCTCGTCCGACAGGTGCGGCGTGTTCTCGCTCAGCTCGCGCTTGATCTGTGGGCGAGGGCCTGAGGAATCAGGGCCCTGGGGCGCACCCCTGCGGCGGGCCGGGTCGGGGACAGGGGCCCTCTTCACCCCCAGGGCTGCTCCTTCATCATCACAGGCTGAGGTGGCGGCTGGACCCCAGTACGGGACAGATGAAAGGGAAAAGCTGCCCAAAGCAGGGCCTGAACACCCAAGCACCGCCGCAGGGCACAGCCTGGGTTCTGACCCAGCGCCCAGGCGTGGGCTCCGTGGCGCCCCGAAAAGCACCTCTGTACCCCGAGCCCAGTAGAGAGGAGAGCCCAGAAAGGGAAATGACATGTGACCAAGCCGGGATCTTGTGGCCTCAAGAATGACTAGAGCCCGTTGAGCCTGTTCCCCTCAGCTGGTTCCAGGAACTGGAGGGAAAGCTGGGCAGGGAATGCGAGGGGCTGGGGTCAACTGGGGTGTCGCCTCACCTTCAGGGCTTTGCTGGATAAGGGATCCACAGACATATTTGCAGACGGTGCCCTCAGGGCTGAGACCTGAAGGAGAGAGGAGAGCAGGATCATTTTCCTGCCACTTAGAATAAAGTCCAAAGTCAGTTTCTTGGCTTTCGGGGCTCCTGCTGTCTTGGAACTCGTTCCTACCGCCGTCCTCTGCCCCAGTGGGCCAGCACAGTGGCCGCCCCGAGTGGCTCAGTCCAGCCTCAGGGCCTTGGCACGAGCTGCTTGTTCTCTACTCTTCTCTCTTTTATCTGCCCAGAGGCCCACTGCCACCCCTCAAAGTGGCCCGACTCCCAGCCGGAACACCCATGTGCCTCACAGGACCGCAGTTACTGACCTCCACGCCAGTCCCCTCGCCTGCAGTTATTTTATGTTTGGTCACTTGTTCGTGGCGGTCTCTCCCTGCCCCTCCTCTTCCACTTACTCGAGGGCAGAGGCCCAGCCTGCCTTACCACTGTGTCAATGTGCCTAAATCACCTGGCACATAGTAGGTGCTCAGTAAATATGCACCAAATACATAGACCCCTGCCCAGCGCAGCCAGCCACGGCTCTACACGGCAGCCAGACTGGCACCAGCATCCACGGGTACAGCCTGACCAGTCCTTCCCTTCCTGCCCAGCTTCTTCCTCCTGTGTTTGGGGAAAGCCTCCCCTGCCTGGGGCTGCCCTGACCCTCAAGTCCTCTCTCGTGGACCTGAAAGTCCTGTGTTCACTTAAATACTTATTCAGCATCTATTATTTGCCAGACATGTGTTTGGCCCTGGGGAGGCACAGAGGGTACATTCTGGGGCCAACGGTGACCGTTCTCTGCTGGGAAGCGAAGTCTCCCAAAGGCCCTCATGTGATGACCGCATGGGAAGGGCAGCGGGGAGGAGCGCAGGGCAGGACGGTGCTCTGAGACCCGAGACACCATCCTGTTCCTACGAGCCGCCTCCAGCTGGACAGAGCAGTGGGAGACAAGGAACCTGGTTCGCTGAGCTGCTTTGGGGCCGCCTCAGCTCCCACTCAGCCCCCGGCCCCACAAGCCGGCCCGCGTGGAGACAAGGTGGAGAAATGGGTAGTGTGGGATTCTGGCAGTGCTGTTAACCTCTCTGTGCCCAGTGTCCCCATGAGTGACACGGGGGCTGTGCGTTACGTCAGATCATTCTGTGCCTCTCTCAGGGCTCCTCCATCTCCCTGGGACCAGCCAGAGGCGGCACCGGGACCCACCGGGACCCACTGCGTGGTGAGGCCTCAGCACCGTGTCCGCTCTGGCACGGCCGCCTCCTGGCCTCTTCAGGCCACCTCGCACGCTCTCCCCAGGGCCTTTGCACTGACTGTTCCCTTGGCCGAGCATTCTCCTCTCCTCTCCTCCCGCAACACCGGCTGCCTCGTCTCCTTCAGGTCATCTTCAAATCTCATGTCCTCACTGATTCAGAACTCCCAGCCCCTGATGCACACGCCTCCTGTTTGTCTAGAACATTCTTCACTGGACATAATTGCTGTTGTTACCCACATCTATTTTAGTATTTCTGTAGCGCCGGGCTCCCTGCTTGCCTGCCCCTCCCTCGGCTCACCCCTGCGGGCCCAGCGTCTGCAGAGTGCTGGACACACACTCCTTGCTGAAGTCATAGTTGTTCAATTCTCAATGTGACTCAGCTGGCGTAGGGATAGGCCAGGGCTTCCCGGGAAGCCCCCAGCCCTTCCAGGCCCACGCAGCCCTGATACCCGGGCAGAAGCAGGGAGTGAAACTGCACAGGGAAGTTGGCACGCCGGCAGCCGCCGCGGTCCTGGGGCTGGGAGTCTGCGGGGCACCTGCCGCTGGGGAAACAGGCCTAGGAGGTCCCACGTCACGCCCCGGCTTCCACAGACACGACGTGGAGGCCCTCACAAACTACCCACCAGGCCTCCTTCAAGACAAGTCTCTAAATGGCCACCCCCCTCCCCCCCACACCCATGCTTCTCTGCTGGTCTCGCTCAGCCTCCACCTCACGCACCTGACCACATCACCATGCAGATGCAGCCCTTCCATGGCTTCCTGGTGTCCTGGAAAAGCCCAGGTCCACCCCTCAGGCCCCCCAGACTCGCTTCCCACCAGTGCCCACCTCTGCCCTCCAGTCAAGCGGAATCTCCCACGCCCTCCCCACACTTTCTTGTTCTGCTCCACACCCTGTGCCACCCGCCTTTTATCTAGCAGCGCCTACTCACCCTCGCTAGGCAGCAGACACTGCCTCCTCCAGGAAGCCCTCCCTGACTCCAAGTATGTTAGGCACATCCACGCCCCCCTTCTCCCGTGTTGTAATGAATGGTCTGTTTCCTTGTCTCCCCCCACCAGACAGGGAACGGGCCAAGGCAGTTCTGGATGCTGAGGCAGCGTCTGACCCAGGCGCCAAGCTCGAGCCCAGCTGAATACCGTCCACCCGAGAGAAATGCTTGCTGGCCCTGTTTCCAATTCTTCCTTCTTTCCATTTGACTCCTCGCTTCTGCATGGAGCCAGGAGAATGAGCAGGGAGCAAAAGGGAACCATGCTCGCGATGCTCGGTGGGAACAGCCACACTGAGAGTGGGTCTGGGGTCGAGTCCCTCGTGCCTTTCCGGACTGTGCAACCTGCAGGCTTGGGACCACGGCTGCCTGGCGAGCTTACTGCGGAGCCCAGTGATATAAGCTGCAGAGGTGAGTGGGCCTCTGGGGCTCCCAGGATTGCTGAGTCTGAGTCCAGTGGGACCAGGCTGCACTGAGCACTGGAATCTTGGACTCAGCACCTCCCAGCTGGCGGGGTCCCCCAGAGGGGAGGCCTGAGAGGCCTGGCTCCACCGGCTCCCTTTTCCCAAGGCACAATGAAACCCAGAGAGGCGTCTCTTGCCTGGAGTCACACAGCACGTGAGTGGCTGCCGCTCCTAAGTTGAGAGGAATTCTGAACACCTGTGAGGCCCCCAGGGCTGCCTCCTGACCCCCCTCTCTGTCACCCCGGGGTCCTCCCAGAGAGAGAATGCCCAAGGGGCCGCGCAGCGCCAGGGCACACAGCTGAGGGGGGAGTCCAGGAGGGAGGCCGCTCTGGGCCATGTGCCTCCTCCCAGAGTCGACCCTACTGGCGTGCTGCACCCCCAGTCTCCAGGGGTCCGTGTTGGTCTGCTAGGCATGTACAGGACACACAGGTGTCCAGGCCCTCCTGGTGGGCAGGTGTTGGGGGTGCCCAGGCTGGTGGGCGCTGAGTACTGGTGCTGAGGCTGATGGGCAGCCGGGAAGTGAGGCCCAGCTCCTCGTGCAAGCCATTTCCCTCTGGGCCTCGATGTCCTGTCCTGTGAAGTGGCCGCGGTCCCAGTGGTATCGGTATGTAAAACACAAGAGGCGTGGACACCGTCAGGAAAGACAAAGGGCTACCTTCAGTCAGACATCAGCGATCAAGCACAGCCTGTTCTGTGGACACAGCCTCAGAACGCTCAGCATACCCGCCAGCCCAAGAGGTGGGCGCTGTCAGCCCTTCCTGCGCCGCGTGAGGGGCCGAGGGCCAGCGCTCAGCTGCTGTGTCTACGTGCCCCGGGAGGCTCTGAGCCCGGGCTTCCTCCTGCTCCCCCTGTTCTAGCCTCAGCCCCTCAACGCGGCCTGGATATCAGCTGAGACCCCATGTTTGCCCAGGAATGTCCTAGCTCAGCAAAGTCAGCCATTGCAGAGGGAAAAGTCACAAGAAAGGGGAACTCTCTGACAAGCTCGGGCTTTCGGCCTCCAGCCTCAGGTCCGGGGGTGCTGGGCTGCAAGCCGGGCGCAGGCCTCTGGCAGGCGGCCTCAGTCACTCGGTGACCCCGGGCCTGAGACAGGAGCTGCTTTAACCTCCGTGTTCTGTAACCAGCAGCTGTTTGGGGGCTGGTGGGCCAGAACCCAGAGGTCCTGACCCAGCCCAGGGCTCTGTTCAAAGCCAACCTGTTCTTCCCTTGGAGGTCAGCAGCGTTGACTCAGGGTCAAGGCTCCCGACCTTCTGTGGGAACACGGAGAATGAATGCCTGTCAAGGCAGCGACGGCTGGCTGGTCCAGTCAGCAGCACAAGACCTGCTAGACCCCTGCCGGCCCCCAGTGCACTCCAGAGGCAAGCCCGAGACGGCCCACCCGCAGCACGGGCTCCTCTCTGGCTGCTCTGTGAGGAGAGAGGGAAAAATGCGTTTTCCTGGGCTTTGGCAGCAGCCGCGGAGGAGCCTCCTCCCCACTGGAAGGCCAGCGAGGCGGGGAGAGCCCGGCACCACCAGGATGCAGGGCCAAGGCTCCGTTTCGGCCACTCGGTCGTACCCCGCTTGACTCCAGGTACATCGTCCCCCCTTTCTGGGCATCAATCTCCCAACATGCCAAAGCTCCCCGAGGTCTAAGGTGCCTTTCAGCACAGGTGGTCTCTGTGTTCAAAGGGTTCGATTTCGGAGTGGCGCTCAAAGGTCACCAACAGACTGGAGGCTCCAGAGAAAGGCAGAGGAAACCAGGAAAGGCTTCCCGGAGGCGGGGGCATGTGAACACAAGCTCAGAGCTGTCAGACGTGGTCACCACTCTGGTCCACCTCCACTTCCAGGGACCATTTCCTTTTTCACTTGAACCACGACCACAGCTGCCCCCCTCACTGGCCTCTAGTCTCGCCTGCCTCTGCCCACCCTGCCACTGTTGATCCTGCCCTGAGCTGTCAGGGTCTCATGACACTGACTGGACACCTGCCCATTTGAAAGCTGCCAGGCCGGGCTCCCCTCCAGCCCCTCCTCCTGGGGCCGCTGCCATGTGCTCTGCTCCCTCCCCAGTCCCCATGCTAGGAAATGCAGGAACAGGCACTAAAAGCTACTGTGCCTGCCCAGCTCCCAAAGGGACGAATGGAGTGTGTGTGTGACAGGAAGAGAAAAAGGAGAGAGGAAAGGAGAAGTGGCCTGGGCCCTGAAGGACATGTGTTCACTTTTGGGAGACAGTATCAGGGTCCTTCAGCACATGCCGGCCTCCTCGGCTTCCTAGTGTGCCCGAGGCTTTGTCTCCAGTACTTTCTCCATTACAGCTCTTTTGGGAGATGGACCCAGAATTCATTCAGTCAGTCAGCAGACAGCCAAGAAGCAGTGATGTTATGCTCGGTTGGATGCTGGGCCCTAAGTGCCAAAGATGAATCACAGCCCCCACCCTTCAGGGCTTCACAGGCCATCACTCAAACTGATAACTGCCCACTGGTCACCTCCTCAGGGAAGACTTCCTTGATTGCCCTGTTATATACTTTCAAAACACAACGCTTCCTCACCCGCGTGGCTCAGCTTGGTGGCTCTTCCTTCAACCTTCTGACTCCCCCTTGACTGTAAGCTCCTGAGGGCAAGCTCTGATGCCAGGGAAGTGCAGACCCTTGTCAGGACAAGGGAGGCACAAAAGCCAGGGCCCAGGGGGTGCTGTAGTTTAAGGCTAAGCCTTTCAGTACGCGCTCCATCAGCGATCAAGTCAGTTAGCCTCTCCCCTACTCCCAGCCCTCCTTGGGGTCGTTCCCTGCCCACCCTCTGGTTCCCGTGTTTCTGGCAGCTATGCTCCTCACTCAAACCCCCACGTCCCTGGACATCCCTGGCTCCAGCCTGGCCTCTTGGCTCTGCTCCCTCTGCCCTGGACAATGGCCTGTGCCTCGTGGCTGCCAGACAGCCTCATCCTCCCCGATCCTTCCAGCCAGGACCTCACCTCGTTCTGCTGCAGCTGGGGTCACTGAGGCCTAGCTATGGAAGCAGAGCTCATCACACTCAAAGATCCAATGCGGAAAGATTGTCTGGTTCCTTACCCTATGGCTCATGCCCCCTCTTCCCCCAACATGATTCTGTAACCCTGTGAGTAGGAGGACAGGGAGGGCAAACAGGACCCAGGAACCCCTAGCCCCTCCCTCAAGCGCAGGTAAAAACAGCAACAGGGGAAAGCTTTCTGTAGGGCTGATGGGGGAGAGCAGAGATGTTGTATCCACCCCAGACATAAGCCCTTCATGCCCCAAGGCCCCTGGCCCCCGCCTGCTGCTTAGGTCTGGCCCTGGGGAGAAACCCCAGATTGGCGCAGTCCCGCAGCTCAGGTCCTGCTGTCCGTAGGTCCATGTGACTAGTCCTACCTGTGAAGTGAAACCAGAAGAAGGGCAGAAACCAGCTCCACCCCACCCTCCCGACTCACCCTCCCAGAGCCAGCAGGCACTACCTCCTGGGCCCCACTGGCCAGAGTAGCCCTCAAATGAGAGGCAGCCTGGGTCCCCAGGCTACTGCCTGCCTTTGCCAGGAGTTTTCTGGCTCTTCCAGTTTCTCCTGAGACCATCAAGACAGACAACTTCCCCAGGCAGCTGGAAAACTCAGGGACGAGGACTTGGGTGCCAGCCACTCAGTGGCCAGCCCGTGGGGAGCTAGAGTGAAGGTAGAGGTGGCAGCCTCACCAGACACACGGGGGGGGGCTGAAAGGGTCTTTGACACTTTGTGCCACCCTGTGGCTGCAGGAACAGGCTCTGGGCAGGGTACTGTGGTCACATGACTGGGCCCTGGGAAACTCCGGGGAGAGCAAACGGGTGGCCAGGGCAAGAAATCCCCAGCCCATGTAAGCAGGGAGAGGCAGTTAGTTGCCCTTGGTCAGGGCCTTAGTGGTGTTTATTCATGTGGGCACACTCCCAGGTCTTCATCCACCTGGGAGAGTTCAAGAACCCTTTCCGGAGTACAATGCACACACACACACACACATACACACTCCACCCCCTACACAGCGCCCTGTAGGCACAACCAGGGCTCCAGGTCTTCATCCGCTTGGGAGAATTCAAGAGCACATCACACACACGCACACGCACACATACAAGCGCGCGCACACGCATGCACACACACGAGCGCGCGCGCGCACACACACACACACACACACCCCCCGCGGCGCACGCACGAGCCGAGCAGGATGAGCAGGATGCCCAGGACGCTCGCCAGGGAACACACGCGCACGCACGCCCGCGGACGTAAACAAACGGCGCACGCACGGCCCGCGGGCGCCCGGCCAGGGACTGTTCTCCGCGAGTCACGTACGTGCACACACCGCCCCGGGCCCCGCCTAGGCGGACGCTGACGCTCGCCCGCCTGGCCGCCCCTTCCTGCCCG